TAAGTACCATTGTATTTCTTAAGCTGATTTTCAGATGGCCAGATTTGACATCCACAGGAGTATTGGGAACTTTCCATATCTGAAAATCAAGCTACCTTCTGTGATATAAAGGTTCAATATAACAAAGCTGAATGTCTGCGTATGCAAGGGAAATTGTAAAAGAGGTGAGACAAAGGTGTTCCAGTGGGAGGCTGGGAACAGGTCTAGGATGGTCATTGCTACTCTTGCTTTCTGAATGAGTGGACAGAAACAGATCCTGAAATTCTTGTTTTTGTGACATGGAGACACAATATTTAAAAAAAGGTGAGAACCACTGATCTGAAACAATTACTGCCCTTTGAGAGACTCATGGCTGGTGAGGGCATGGAGACTGAGTTATATTTTGGCAGGCAAAATTAATCCATGCTGTACTCTGGAGTTAAATGGAGGACTTCAGTCTGTCGGAATGTCAATCCACCATGTTGCATCAGCATGAAGTTCACTTACAAAAATATGAGCCACAGTTTTCAAAAGTGACTAGTGTCAGGGGAGGCAGTATCACTGGCCTGGGACTCAGGATATATGTGTCCTGTTTTCAGCCCTGCTACTGATCTGCTGTGTGACTTTGGGTGAGTCATCTTGTCTCTCTGTGCCTCCTGTCCTCCTCCCTCCCCCCCCCCCCCCAGTAAAGTGAGGGAAATGATACTGAATTCCCAGGTAAGATGTTGGTTACCACAGCTATTTAAGAGCTCTGTATCATTGTTGTTAGTCTTTTGGATGCCTGAATATTTGGGTGCCCAACTTTTGAAACCTTAAAGAACCCTGGTTCACAGAAAATGCTGAGCATCCAACAAGTACAGGGGTGGTCAAAAGGGCCTCCGCAGGCTGGATCTGGCCCGCCAAGCAGGTTGATCCAGCCTGCAGAAGCCATGCCGCTCCCATGCCAATCAGGGCCTGGGGGTGGGGGGAAGCACACAAAGTTTCCTCCGCCCTGTCCCCGCTCTGCAAAGAGTGTGCAGCACTTAAAAGCGCCGTGCGCTCCTGGGAGGATAGGAGGAGACTTCACGCACTCCTCCTGCCCCTAAGCACTGATTGGCCTGGGGGCAGAAGGGGGAGTGCACAAAGTCTCCTCCCACTGCCAGGGGCATGGGTGCATGGGGGAACCTCAAGGGTGGGGAGGGGGGAACAAAGACTTCATGTGCCCCCCCACCGCCAAACCAATCATGGTCTGTTGTGTTGGGAAGCAGGGAAGTATCCTGCTCCCCCCACCCCCTTCTAATGTAGCCCAGGGCCACTTAAAAAATTTCTGAAGTGGCCCCAGTAAAAATTATTGCCCACCCTGAACTAGTAACTTTTGAAAATGTGGGCTAAAACCTCTCTTTAATTAAGAGGTGGTGACTTTGTATTGTACACGAACCTGAGTCACACTTTGTGTGTGTTACCCTGTGAGAGATTTTGTTTCTTCAAGTTCCCATTTATTACGTTTTTATTGAAGTGGTAAATGTCTAAATCACACAGCAGTTAATCTGGTCTCTTAACTGCCGGACGTCTCCTTTAACTATGAGCTCCTGCAGCTGCCCTGTCAGAAGTTAGGTAGCACATTCTAAAGTAATGCTTTATGGAAAGTATTTTCAGAGACCTCTGCTGCAGCCCCTGATATTCTCAGAGTGAATGGGAATATGGAAGAATTAATTATAGTATATTTGATGTGGAAGAGAAAAATGAAAATAAATGTCTCCTGGGGTGCTGCTAAGCTGAAGAATCGCACGCTGTAGTAGGTATGCTGTACAGGAGCTGTTTGAGTTCCTGTCCCCTTGAATAGTGGTCTTGCTGGAAGTGCCAAATACAGGAACAAACAAAATCCCAGCATTGTATTAAACTGTATTTGTAGTCAGAAAAATGCTGCTGTAAATACAAGAGGGAGGCATTGTATGCTTTGGTAGTACATTATTAAATGTCCATTTGCAAGTCAAAAGACTTTTCTGTCCATGCCAGCACTACAAACTGAGGTCAGATCCTGCCTTGCTGCCCCCGTCATGCTGTGAGGGGAACAATAGTGGTCGTCAGAAGGTCTGCCTGCCCAAAGGCCAGTGCTGGCTGGAGGTACCATGTTTTGCAGTGCACATTATCACTGCTTGTTCAGAGCTGGTTCGGGGTCCCCTGACTCCCACTGAGCAGCACCATACTTCACAAGGAGTCCCTAGTAAAGTCAGTGGGACTGCTTCTGCTTTGTCATAAATAATGGTATCAGAATCAAGTGCAGAAAGAGTTCTGGGCAGTGTTTCTGCCAATGACAGCATGTTTTCATGATGGCCTGGGTCTAGACAAGCTGACCATTTCTCCTTGGAGATATGAAGTGTTGTCAAGCAGGATAACAACCCTCTTGCTTAGCACTCAGGGAAGTGCCAGGTTTACATTCTGGCAACTGCTTGCTACTTTCCCCCCACTAGTACAACAGAGGGTAGGAATTTATCCTTAACCAGGGATCTGACATTCAAGCTGTTTGCTTTCCTCCTCTTTTACCATCACCAGTAATAAAGCTTCTGTCACCGGAACTCAGCTGACACTATTGTCAGTGATGCATGAGGCAGAATAGAATCCAGCGCACTCTTCCAAAATTGTTAGCTCTGCACCGCTAACTCTAACATCTTAGTTTCATCAGCTAAGTCAGCAAATATGACTCAACCATCTTAAGAAGAAAGTGCCAATTTTTCCTTACAGTTTTTCTAACTATGGCTGGATATTTGAGGTGACTATTTACATACATGATCAAATAATTCTGAAGAGGAATTTTTTTCTACATTGGAGCAAACTTAAAACTTGTGCTTGATTGAAAGGTTCTCTCCCCTCTCCTTTCTACTTCATCCAGCAATGATGTCATAGTCCTGCATTCTTTACCTAATAGTCTCTTGTCAAGGAAATAAATGTGATTTCACACATGCAGATCATGAGTTCACTGTAAGATCCAGGAATTAGAAAATATTATATTGGAAAGTGCAAACCCCTGAGAGGCAGTAGGAGCTAATGATTAAAGCAGATTTAATCTCAGTAGGAATCAGATTAAATTCCATCCCGGTTTTTGTACCATCCCCACCACTTTGGTACCTGAGCACCTTCATGTGGTTCTTTTAAGTCTTATTATTATCATCATCCATCTTGTGTGGCTCTTTCTTCTTTATCAGAAGGAAAATGTGTGTCTGTCTTCTTAAAATTTAAACTAAAATTCAAAAAATGTGTGTGTCCCACCTTCTGGAGTGGTTCAGGGCCATGCTGCAAAGCTCCGGGCAGACTGTCGAAAAGCAGAGCTGACATGCCAGACTCCTTGTGTGTTTTATATTTAGATTTCCTAAGCCAAGTAACAAATGTGAATCCCAGAAGCATTCTAACCGTCTTGTAGTGGAGTCACAGACAATTCTCTTGGGCCCTTCAATCTATCTTGCTACCTAGAGGGTGCAGGGACACATGGAGACAGGGTGGAGGGAGGTAGTCAAAAGTGCAATAACACATGAGGATGGAGGGCTGGGGGAGAGGAGGAGGAACTGAGTAGAAGTGCAAGGACAACTGGGGAAGGGGGAAGATGTACCTGATTGACCTCTAGCCTTTCACTTTCAGTCAGGGTCTGCATGGGAGAGATTGCTAGACTCCCTAATAATCCCATTTCTTCCCCCCCCTCCAAAAAAAAGCTTCCCCCCCCCGTTCCCTACTTCTACCCACACCCAACAACCCTCCAGGTTCACTCCCTGAGTCTCTCAAGCCTTTTCATTGCTTCTGAGGGGTGCAGAAAATGGGTTATGTATTGTAGTTTAAATAAATTATTACGTAATAGTTCTGTATTAATATGCCTAGTAAGGAATCTATTTGTCCAAAAAAAAAAAAATCCTGAATGTTTTTTGCTGTCTGTATTGTTAGATATATTTGCTCACAAGTATTTTGAAATAAGTGAGCAAAATTTGAAACTGGTGTGATTATAGTATTTTGGTAAATAAAAATTCAAAAATTGGAAAATTTTAAAATACTGTGTGTAGAATTGGTAATTTTTTTAATGCAGAATTCTCCCAGAAGTAAGAGTCCTAGTAACCTGTTAGCACTGAATGACTTTCAGGCCTAACCCAGGTTGACCTTAGGGTTTCCTACTTTTGTTTCACAGTTCCAGTTTTTGAGATTCCAAACAGCAAAGAGATGAAGCATTTTCATGTCTGCTCTGTTTCCTTCTTCCAGAATTCAAGCTGGTGGGATGAACTTTCTTGTATGTAGCACTTTCTGGGTGTGAGAGGGTCATTAACCCAGTCTCTGTATCATGATATTTTACAATGGTTTACTTGGTTTTGATAATTCTCTTTTATGGACAAGTGAACCACTCCTGCCTGGGTTCAGAGCAGGCAATATTTCAGTAATAAAGCAAGTGTCCTACTACCTTATAGCTAGGGTACAGACATTACAAGTAAAACTAATGCATGTAGTAACTTCCAAGCATTTTATATTGCCTAAACACTGAACACATTGACAAGTCTAACACCTGTCTTGAACACCACTAACAAACACATGCACTAGTCTAGTTTCTAGCTATGTATTTGTCAGTACTCAGCTGACTACAGCCTTGGCAACAGCTGGCATCTGGTCTACTGGTATCACAATATGTATGCTTTGCCATTAGGGTTCTTATATTCCCTGCTCTGCTGCTAGCTTGCTGTAGGATGTTCTTGCAAGTCATGTAAATTCTTTGCCTCAGCATCTGTAAAATAGGATAAAAGGTATTTTGTAAGAAGCTTTGAGACCATCAGATGAGAAATGCTATCTAAGTAAAAAATATCACTCTTAATGCACGCAAATATCTTCAAGAATTAGCAAACATTGCAAGAAAAATTATGGAGAAACTTGTGCGTGGTAAAAGGATTTGTACTTGAACTTAATGCGGCTTACGTTTTTGCCCTTGTATGAAAAGTCCTTTGAAGGCATAATGGCAACTTATACAACTGTGTGATTTGTCGTTCTCTGCCTAACATCCGTGTGTGTTGTTTCAGGGTATTTCTGTGAACAGTGCAGGGAAGGTGCCACGTACTCAGCTGCAGTGATATCTCCTAATTTAGAAACCACTAAAATCATGAGGGTTCCCCATGCCATGTCAACGTCCGACTGCACAGCGGCTTGCTGCGATCTTTCAGGTTGCGACTTGGCCTGGATGTTTGAACGGCGCTGCTACATTGTGAACTGCCAACATAAAGAAAACTGTGAACCCAAGAAAATTGAAACAGTGAAATCGTATCTTACGTTCGTTCTTAGGCCTTCCCAAAGGCAAGGTGCGTTGCTAGGGTATGGGGAGGTGCTGCCCAACAGGGTTCACTCTGTGGGACTGCAGGGGGGGCCCTCTGAGGAAGTGAGTAACCTGAAGGAGCTGTCTTTGCTGAGTAAAGATCACAGGGTTGAGGAGATGCCTGAATACACCGATGACTACAGGGACTTGGAGCAAGACCCCTTTCAGATGAGCACCAAGCACGAGCCGAAAGAGAGCTCTGATTACACGGACTGGGGCCTGATGGTGGCCAGTGAACATGGCTTTAACTCTTCAGTCTCTGATTCCGGTGACAACCCTGAAGGTTTGTCTGAAGAGCAGAGGGAAGACTCACGACTGGAAAATCTCAGGACTAAAAGCGGGTCCGAGTCTAACGCTGTCACTGTTGAACACACCAAGGAGAAGCTGCCATCTCTCGCTGAGGTGACCTGGTCCCCAGTGGAGTCCATGGAAAGTGAAGCAGCCAGACAACCACTTGTGCAAGCCAGTGACAACCTGGGGAAAGAGGTAGGGGTGCTTCAAGATCCCAGTAGTAGTGAAGTGGGCACTATAATATTCTGCTTTGTGGGTCCTTTTCAAATCAAAATACATTACTTACGGACCTGAGGGAAATCAGCAATGGACCATGAAATGCTGTCATAAGAAAAGAAGAATGTGCCCTTTAACAGCCCGTCATCTGGCTAACTTAGTTGCAGTGCATGCTAGTTAGGTCAAGGGATGGCAGTCAGATCTCTATCAGACAGTAAGGCTTCTGGTAGTTGGGTATAGGAATCCCAGTTTAAACTTTCAGCTTTTTAGACCTGGATCTGGATTATATGTCTCTTTGTAGTTTGGCTTTCTGACTTTCGAAATGTGTCATCCCTTAACAGCTCAGCATGCAGTATGCATTCAAATGTGCACTAAGGTCATGTGGTCCAGGGAGGAGATACAGCGTTGGGACTCAGAAATTACTGCATTTAAATCCTGGTGGTGGCTCTGTGTCAGTGTGTAGTCTTGGTCAAATTATTTCAAGTCCCTGCCTCCGTTCATTAGATTAAGTGAGTGTAGTGGGGTTACTAATACTTACCTCTGTCCTAGGTGTGTTGTGGGGTTTATTAGTGTTTGTGAGGTGTTTTGAATATGTAAAGCACTATATAAATACTCAGTATTATTCATGGACATTACATGGTCACAGGAAACACTGCGCTTCTCCCTAGAAGATCAGTGTTCAGGTACTTATCAGTACTTATCTACACTTACTGGCACAGTCTATCTACTTCAGCTACCCAAATAGAGTCTTACGTGCAGTCAGGTTGGCCAGGGGTGCTCTCATGTCAACACTGGCTACTCTTCTTATCTTGGTGGAGTACCAGTGTGGGCAGGAGTGGACTTGGAGATCAATTTATTTTGTCTAAGCAGACACAATAAATCAACGGCTAGTGGATCGATTGCTGCAGCATCGATCTACCATGTAGTGTAGACTTAGGATGTTAAATAATGATTAATTTACTAGTTGAGTAGTCGATGGAATTTCCATGGACTAGTCAATAGGCACTTCCATGTTCCTCCTTTGAAATGTATAAGAGCCCTGCTGGAACTTCTGTGCAGCGTGGGGCCAGCAGCAAGTCCCACTAGCCCCAGGCTGCATGCGGTGCCAGCTTTGAAATGTACAAGAGTCCCCAGCGGGGGCTTCTGTGCATTTCAAAGTGCAAGCACCCGCATGGAGCCTGGGGTCGGCGAGGGACTCTGAGTCCCCTGCTGCCCAAGCTCCATGCGGCACTGCCACTTTGAAATGCCATGTGGAGCCAGGGTCAGTTGGGGACTCCCCAGCTGATCCCTGGCTCTGTGCAGCATTTCCCCAGAACCCAGGATCAGCTGAGGACTCCCCAGCTGACCCTGGGCTCCATGCGGCATTTCTGTGGAACCCGGGGTCATCTGGGGACTCCCCAGCTGACTCCGGGTTCTGCGGAAATGCCACAGGGAGCCTAGGGTCAGCTAGGAAGTCCCCAGCTGACCCCGGGCTCCACACATCACTGCCGCTTCTCCCCCTCCTCTCCTTTTGCTGCCTTTATATAGTAGAGGCAGCAAGTGGGGGAGGAATCAATTAGTCTCCTTGACTATCTGATAAACATTTGCTTATGGGTTAGTCAACTAGTCCTTAGCGTAGAGAAGGCCTTACCAGCTATGTCCTTCCATTGCTGTCCATGTGTTGCAGGCAGTTTTTTAAAAATACAGTGGGAGAATATGGGCCTTGATTGGTAACATTTTTCTTCAGGTTCTGGATAGTCCAATGACACAAATCACTGGACTCAGTTTATGCATTATGTGTATTTGAATAGGAGAAATGACTTGGCTCACAATAACTGTGTCCTTATTTTTCCTCTTCTAGGATCTAACGCCTTCCCAGAACCCTCTTTCAGACAATCTGGAATCTACCCAAGCTATTGCAGAGAGAACCCAAATCCCAACGACAGCTCCAAGGAGTCTGACACAAGATGGGCTCATACCACTTCCAGCTAGTGCTGTGCTCTCTCAGCCCACTGTCATACAGCCCTTCTTTTCTCCTACCCCTGCTGCCAAAGCAGGTAACTTTTTGTCAAGGCAGAACTTCTTTAAGTAAACAGTTGAGAAATGTTAACTTTAAGGTAGTGATGCAGGTTGCCTGGAAAAAAATCTGAATGCCAGAGTTCATTGGTTGATCTTTGGTAATGGAAAGTATGGAAAGCCTTTGAGAGCCTCTGGATGAGAGCAGGCCTATCTAGAGACTCACTGCTTGTACAGTAATTCCTCATTTAACACGTGCCCGCTTAACACGTTTTCGCAATAGCACGATTTTTTTTTTAAGGAATGTTTTTTGAATTACACGACCGTTCCCAGAATAACACGATTTCCCTAGCCAGCCTGTTGTCGGTGGCTGTGCGGGGCTTCCCCCGCCTCCCTGCAAAGCGGCGGAGGGTTCGCCGCTCGCTGCACCATTCCCCGCTGACTCCCCCTCTCCAGACGCTTTGCCCCCTCTCCTCCGCCCCCGCTTGTAGGCGAGTGGCTGGGTTTCCCCAGACGGCCTGTTGCCAGCGGCTGTGTGGGGCTTCCCTTGCCTCCTGCAAAGTGGCAGAGGGTTTGCTGCTTGCTGCGCCGTTCCCTAGTGAGCCCTCCTCCCCCTCGCCAGACGCAGCGCGGGTCCTGGCAGACTCCTCACAGGGGCATACTCCCAACCCAATCACCCTCCCCTCTCCTCCCTTTCCCTTCCCCAGAGCCAAACACCTCCCCTCCCTGCTGTAACCCAGTCCCCTTTCTCCCCCAACCTTATGTCCCGGTCCCAACAGATACCACCACTTGAAACGCAACCCTCACCTTTTCCATTATTTTCAGTGGGAAAATTGACCCCTCATAACACGTTTTCACTTAACACGATCATTTTCTGAAACATATCTATAGTGTTAAATGAGGAATTACTGTACTGCAAGAGTGGCCCTATTTGATAAAGCTTTCTCACTCTGCATATGTCCACACTGCACTCTGAGCATGGTGTTTCCAAACCCACGCTTCAGTCATCCTGGGCTTACACTTGCAGGACCATGTTTCCCAGCCATCACATCTGCACTGCACGATTCAGACCTTCTGACTTGGGTATGAAGCTTGAGAGGCACCCATGTTGCAGTACGACAGGGCTTGTCCCCGAGTCACAGTAGGACTCAGGTTCTGACTCACTTCCTCGTAGGGCCCTAGGATCCAGTTCTGAGTGTTTGCTGACCTGAGTCAGATTGGTTTGCACGTGGGCAGCAGGGAGACTTGGACTCAAAGCTGAGTCAGAGCTCAGACCATTTTATGCAGTATAGACGTTCACACCTTCCCTGCAATGGAGATGACAGCGGCAATAACATCTGTGTGCAGATATTCCCAGAAGTCAGTGTTTTGCTAGACTGTTAGCTCAGCATAGAGGAGAACGGGAAGAAGGGACAAGCCATTTGCTCTGTTCTGCTCGTGGCGAGCCGGGCAGGGGGCCTCTGCATATTCAGTGCCCAGGAACCCTGTACATCTCAGCAGTGCTTTCCAGGGCAAAGATCTTGTCAGAATTTCTCTCTTGAGCCAGGAGCAGCGAGCCTGGATTGAAACCCACAGGACCCTGAAGCAGGTATCATTCCCCCTTATCATGACAAAGGAAAAAGAGGTACAACAGGGCCCCTGAGCAATGGAATGAGCCCAACTTCAGGTAATGGTGTGTGGCCGCAACCACAGGCCAGGCAGTTGTTTCCTTGCTCCTGCCTGCCTCTCCTCAGTAGCACACAAGGAGGGAAAGGACTGAAGAAGACTCAAAATGGGACTTGGGAGAAGGCAAGTGACAGGCAGCACTGAACCTCCCTCCTCCGGTGTTTTTTCTTGGAGCTGCATCTTTTACTTCACCCTCTTCAGTTTAATCAAGTGCTGCTATGGAACCACACTTTGGTTCTTAATGCACTGACTGTATCCTTTGGAGTGCTTCCTGAGGGGCTCAATGTATTTCCTCTCCACCAAGGACACCTTCCTGAGAGCCATCACCTCCAGTCACAGGCTGGGGCTTGACCCATGGAGGAACACTCTAGCATGTGCCACAATGATAAGATGTTTTTTTCCAAAAGATGCAACCTGGATTCCAAAAACTAGCTTTTTTTTTTTTTTTTTTTTTCCCCTCACAACTGAAGTTGTGACCCTCTTCTTCCACGAGAGGATACACTGGATGTCGGTGGAGACTTCAGCTCTAAATCAATTGCATTCAAGTCTTTTGCAAGTTCAGCGCTCAGTCTGTGCTCTGTCATCCAAAGAAAAGAGAGCATCCATATGTACTATTTCAAGATGGTTGGGATAGTGCATATACGAAGCCTTCAGTACATGAATCTCTCCCCAACAACCAGCTTCAAAGGCCACTCGCTTGCAGTGGAAGCAGCTTCCTGGGCTGAGATCTCTCCTGCACCGGAAGGCGAGATCTGGTGGGCATACTTATTCAAAATTCCCAAACTGGACATTTGGGCATCAGCAAATGCAGCCTCTGGTATCAGGCTACTCCATGTTGTGCCGTCGCAGTAGTGGGGAAAGAATCTAAAACTCAGGGTGTTTATATAGTTCTGTTTTACTGAACTCTGCCTGAAGGTGCACTGCTATAAAAACCCGTGGACCTTGTATACAGAAGAGTGGCTTGGAGGAAGCGAGAGAGAGGACTCTTTATGGCCCTGAAGTGAAAGATTGTTCCTAGCAGGAGGGCAGCAAGAAATAAGATGCAAAGCATATGGCTGCCTTTTAGCCAAGCTACATTTTCCATGTTCTCCTGCTATTTTCATGGACACCAAAATTGTGACACTATGAATAACATATTAGTCATGTCAGCTGCAGCATCATGCCAATGTGTAACTAGTACACGGTGGAAAAGCGAGATTCTAGTGCGTTAGTTAAGGGTTGTTGTGTTACTTTATTTGGTGTAATCTTTTTTTAGTGTTAACTGTGCCGGCTGTGATTTCTTTGGAATGCTTCCAAGAATAAAGCCATTAGAAACTGTTCAGAAGCCTGTTCAGAAGCCTGTTATCAGAAACCCTGCGAGTTGTCTGACTTGTGACTCCAGAACACACATGATTGAATTGAGGGCTACAACAGACACAGTTGGGTTTGGTCGTCTGTGTAGAACTCTCTAGAGGCTGAGCAGATGCAGTCTGGGATGTTCTGTAGAAAATGAGACTGCCTTGGGGCATGCTAGAGAGAGTGCATGTAACTCTTACCCATAAAAAGAGTCAACGCTGCTCTCTGGGTGCTGGCAGGTCTGCAGGGACTGACTGACTGTTCTGAGTTTACATGGCCATGCTTTGCTTGCTTTTTTTTTTTTTTTTTAAATAAAAGAGAGAGAGATTTAGACCGCTTCTGAATTTACTCACTGATTCCTGGTCTGTACACAGGGAATATAGTCTATGGCATTCTGGAAGCATCTTGTATGTGGGGTTTGGAGGAGGCTTCCTCTGCTCTCTTCTTTCTATAGTGCACATTGACAGGGTTAGCCAAAATACAGCCCTTAGTTTGCTTCATAGGTCCCCTCTATATGTATTCAATGGAAACTAGTGACTTGGAAACTTGAAAGAAACTACATATAGATTGAATGCAACCCTGCTCAGGTTCTCATACGTGGCTTTTCTAATTCACCATTTTTACCCTTTCATCTCCCAAATGTTTATACTTTTAAGAAGGAAAAACACATCTGTATCATGGGATTTTTGTATGTGTGATGAAAGCAAAATTAACACAGATGGTGGACTGGAAAAATTACAAACATTGATTTTTTTTTTTAAAGAAAAAAATGAGTTAATTCTGATTTTCGACTTCTGTGGGAGCCATTCTCAACTGTGGTGGCGAGAGAAGATTCACCTATAATCATAGCTGTTCTTAATAATTTATCAGGAAAATGTAATTCTCTCCATCTTTTCCCAGAAAATTTCCAGATGATATGCAATCCCAATTACAGTTTCTTTTTCAAATCCATTTCCTCGCTTTCTATTTTGTAAATGTAATACTTTTATCTTCTTTTATTACAGTAAAAGAACTCATGGTGTCCGCTGGAGATAACCTACAGGTGATTCTGCCGAAAAATGAAGTTGAACTGAATGCCTTTGTTGTGCCGCCACCCCCCAAAGGTGAATTTAACAATCTTTTCAACAAGGAGACACCAGATATTGACACATGAACACAGTTTGGCTTTGAGGCTGTATTTACAGCCATGGCTAGAAGGCATCCATGGAACAGAGCTTCCCCTTCTAATCTGTGGAGACAATTCTCTGTGGTACCAGATGTAAAGTGGCATTTCAAAATGGGTTTTAGAGATAAATAGGTGTAGTTTTGTGTAGGGTTGTCAATTAGTGGGCGTTAAGGCAGGGCAGAATTGACCTAAAAAAATTAACTCACATTAATCGCAGAGGTCAGCAAACCAACCAGCATGAGCTGCTTCAGAGACTCTCTGGTAAGGTGCAGTAATGCAAACTGCTACCAGAGGGCGCACAGAAAAACCAAGCAGCCAGAAAGGAAGAAAAAACCTGAAGATGTGGTTCCAGCTCCAACAGAGAAGTAAACAAGAAAAGTAAATACCCTGACACCTGTCCCTCTCCCCTCTCAGGTGACCATATTTTTTAAAATAAAATGGGGAGTAGGGGAGGACGGCTTGCCCAAGCTGTCCGCCCCACCCTCCCGCAGTGTTCACCCAAGTAAGCCTCTCTTTGTCTCCTGGGGCTGGGACTGACACTCCCCCCCACATCTGATTCTAGAGCTGAGTTCCCCACTACCGAACTCTGACCCACAGCAGAGTCTCCCCCCCCCCTCTTGCCCTGAGCTAAAAAAGGACTCTTTTGAATAAGACACAAATATATTCATTATATAGAAGAATTTAAATTCAGCTTTCGTGATAGAATTTGCACTACAATACATCAGTGAGGTGAACTGAAGGGTTTTTTTACAGTGTAAAGGTTTTGTAATTAAAAATAAAATGAGCACTATACACTTTGTATTCTGTTGTAATTGAAATCAATATATTAGAAGATATAGAAAACATCCAAAATATTTGAATATTCTTATTATTGTTTTACAGTGCGATTAATCGCAATTACTTTTTTAATCGCTTGACAGCCCTACTTTTGTGTGTTTAGCATGCACATTAATTATCTAGATTCTCCTTTGAAGCTACATGGATTTATGCCAGGGAGGGTCTAGACTAGGGATGTAAAATCCCATTTAATCAGTTAACCAGTTAAATGTTAACCGTTTAAATAGGCGCAGGCTGCTTCAGTTGGGCTGGGGTGCTCGCCGCCTGTGGCAGGCTCCGCTGGACTGGAACAGCACCCTGCCTGTAGCAGGTAGGGCACTGCCCCACCCTATGCCAGTTAACTGTAACAGGTAAGCATCACCCAGGGTGCTTAAGGGTGATGCTTACTAGTTAACTATTCATATCCCTAACCTAGACTAATGTGTCCACGTACATATCTTTTAGAAATAAATTTAGGCCGCAAACAAATTTAGGCCGTTTGGGTTGAACTTTTCTTAATGCTGTTGACTCTTATATTCCTGACGTAAAGAATTCTTTGTGCATGAGCGTTTAGCACCAGAACAGTTCAGGAACTGATGTCAGTGATGGTAAGGAAAGTATGTACTCCTGCTAAAATACCTGCAGAGTCCATTCATTTGCATCACTTTTCCCTCACCACCTTTCCTCTCCCTGAGTTGCATAATATTGCAGCATCTTGACATATTCTGTGCTGCAGTGATTCAGATCACAGATTCAAACATCAGAAGTTTTCACAGGAGAAGGAGGAAAATAGGGGTGTTCCAGAAGGATTTGAGCTGGTACCATTGCTATTTAATATATTCATAAAAGATCTGGAAAAAGGGGTAATCAGTGAAGTGGCAAAATATGCAGAAGATACAAATTACCAATGATTGTTAAGTCCAAAGCTGACACTCAAGAATTACAAATGGATTTCACAAAACTGGGTGATGGGGTAAGAAAATGGCAGATGAAATTCAATGTTAATGCAAAATAATTCACATTGGAAAATACAATCCTAATTATCCATACAAAACAATAGGATCTAAATTAGCTGTTACTTCTCAAGAAACAGATCTTGGAGTCATTGAGGATAGTTCTAAAATTATTTGTTGAATGTTCAGCAATAGTCAAAAATGTTAGCAGAGTGTTGGGAACCATTTGGCAAGAGAGCTTTAAAAAAAAAATCCATGATACGCCCAAAGCTTCAATACTGAGTGCAGTTCTGGTCACCCCCATTTAAAAAAGAAAAAGAAAAGGATATTCTAGAATTGGGAAAAGTGCAGAAAAGGCAATAAAAATGATTGGGGGTATGGAAGTTTCCATATGAGGAAAGATTAAAAGTCTTGGGTCTGTTCTACTTAGAGGAAGATGAAGGGACATAAAAGCACGAATGGTGTGGAGAAAGTGAATAGGGAAGTACTGCTTATCCCTCCCATAACATAAGAATCAGGGGTCACCTAATGAAATTAATAGGTAGCAGATTTAAAAAACAAAACAAAAGGACAGTCAGTCTGTGGAACTCATTGCCAGGGATGTTGTAAAGGTGAAAAGTGTAACGGAGTTAAAAAAAAAATAGGTAAGTTCATGGAGAATAGGTCAGTCAATGGCTATTAGCCAAAGTGGTCGGGAATGGAATCCTATGTTCTGGGGGTCTCCATACCTGTGACTGCCAGAAGCTGGGACTAGACAAATGGGACGGATTTCTTGATAAATTGCCCTTTTCTGTTCACTTTCTCTGAAACATCTGGCATTGGCCATGGTCTGAAGACAGGCTACTGGGTTAAATGGACCATTGGTCTGACCCAGTATGATCATTCTTATGTTTTTATTAAGTCACTATTTGACTGTACTATTTTGCATTGTAGACATTCAACCATTGTTTCCCCATGTGTCTGTATTGTTTATATTGAAGGAAAGGCTCATAATTACTACACACTTATTTTTATTTTTATTTTTTTTTAGTCCCAGAAACAAGCTACAATTATAAGTGGAGCTTGATTAGTCACCCTGCTAACTATGAGGGTGAAATGGAGTGGAAGCATACACAGGCACTGAAACTCTCTCAAGTAAGTGGGGTGTAATTTAGTCTTGCTTCACTCTCATCAACACAGCATGAGATTTTGCAGTCTGCATTGGAGGTATCTTTGACTTGGTACAAGGACCACAGTTGTGTCTCCCTCAGCATGCTATCAGACTGGCTGTAGTCAGTGGCAGATATAGGGCAGGGCGAGCGGGGTGGCTTCCCCGGGCTCCGTGCTTCAAGAAGCCCCACGCATGCGCTGTGGCGCCCTGGCACATGCGCTGTGTCAAAAGGGGGAGCCCTGCGAAATTGTGCTGCCCTGAGCCCCGCAAAATCCTCATCCACCCCTGGCTGTAGTATTGCTGGTTTATAAATCAATTCCACCTGCTATGCAAAAGGCTACATCTTCAGCTAATGTGAATCCACATAGCTCTGCTGAAGGCTGTGGAGCTGTTATGTGCTCAGTTTACACCAGCAGAGGATCTGGCCTAACATTCCTCAGCAGAAAGAAAAAGTTGGTGAGCTATAGCGTTAGAGTGAAATGGGACCCTCCAGTCCTTTTAATTTATACGTTACGCATCTCAGAGAAGTTTATTTCTGTGTTACTGTCAAGGCTTCCTTGTTTCCTCTGCCCACATCAGAGTCTTCACTTGGCATATCATGGTTTTCAGAAGAGTCTGATGATCTTTTAAGAGAATGCAAATGTGTTTTATGTGGCTCCATCTCCATCCCCACCACGGGGCAATAGCCAGCACACTTTGTGCATACTTTTATAGATGGAGCCCTGGATTTCAAGTCGCTTGCTGGGCAAATCTTGAAATGTTCAGATGATCTCTGTGAAATTCCTACCTGTAATTAGAAAAACTCTTTTGTGTGCTTCAGCTGTCAGTAGGCCTCTATGCCTTCAAAGTGACCGTTTCCAGTGAAAACGCATTTGGAGAAGGATTTGTAAATGTCACTGTCCAACCAGGTAAATCAGTTTGCCAGAAGAGTAACTAACGTTTTCAACACACAGGCTCATTCACCACATTTTTTTTAAAAGATTCATTAGTGGTTTTAAAGAATAATTAGTTGCCTGGCCACACACAAATATTTGCATTCAGTCCTGGACATTCCTTCAGGGAATTTGTTATAAACTGAACTAAGTGCAGCGTGTGGAGTCCCAAGCTGTCCCAGAGCTCCTTGCACCTATGGGTAGAGGTGAAGGTGGCATTTTTTCACCTGTCTCCCTGTAGACTGCTGGAGGCTGAACTGGCACCTGCCACAAGGTAAAGCAGCAACAGTGCTGATCTAACTTAGGCCACTTTGAACAGTCCCCAGCAGTGTGCCCTCTAATTTTCCCCATCTGTGTGCAGAATTAATTTTAATATGTGCATAACATGAAGGTGATGTGTTGCAGGTTTGGGGCCAAGAGGCTTGGAGTGTAGGAGGGTTGGGCTACAGTGAGGACATGAGATGGGGGTGCAGGCTCTGGGGTGTGACTGAGGGCGAAGGGCTTGGGATGCAGGCTGCCCTGGCGCTACAGTGGGGAGAAGGGGAAGAACATTTCTTGACATGTCTCCTGAGCGGCTGCAACTCTGGGCTGGGGAAGTGTGTCCCCAGCAGGTCTGGGTGTGTGGCCAGGGAGAGGCACCACTTCTGCGGTGGTGAGTTTGGGGCTAAGGAAAAGGCATCTCTCCCTGACAGTATCTCTCTTAATATGCTGCTGCGTGGCCATGCAGCTTAGAAAGAAACTTAGGTTCCTGGCCTAAGAGTGCTGGAGCATAGAGTGTTCCTATCCCTTGTCCAGCCTACAGTGCATCAGAAGGCACAGCCGGTGTTCTAACCCTGCCTCTGCTGACTTTATGCCACTTGGGCATTCCCTACATCAGGGGAATTCCTGGATACTCCAGCGACGTGGCCTGAAATCCACTTTGTGTGGCTAGAATGGCACAAATAGGACTTAACCTGGGATAAGGGTTTGGACTAATAGTGGTATATGAACATATCATTCTTTCTCCCTAATCACCTGCAATCTGGATCCTTAATGTAAAATTAGAAGTATTGTTGTTTTACAGCCCTTCAGTAGGGCTCCAAAACTGCACGGAGTACTTCAGGTATCCAGGAAACTTAATTGCAGGTCTCAAACTTTACAGGAAATGAATGTTTTAGTGGTGCTAGGTTATATAGTGAGCAAAGCTGAGCAGCTTTCTCCTGTTGAATTATCTGGCTCATAGTTTTTTAAGAAACCACCATTTTAAGTGCTGTTCTTTAGCTTCTCGGCATAAAAAATAATAAATTGTTAGGTGTAAAGTTGCTATCTGATTACACACAAAACTTGCATTATTTTCCTCGCTGCCTAAGCATTAATCTTCCTGCTCAGTGGTTGGAGGTTGATTTGCCTCTATTCTGCTGAGATAGCTATCTGCCAAATCTAGAGTTCTATGCACAGGTTGTCTTTAACATAGTTTTCTGTTCTTCTTTTTTACACAGCTGTCAGAGCGAACCAACCACCTGTAGCAGTTGCTTCCCCCAATGAACAGGAGGTGTCTTTGCCCACAACTTCTACCTTCATTGATGGCAGTCGTATGTACTGGGCAGCTCTCTGTTTTTATGCTATAATCCTTATAAAGTTGTAATGTTGTCTTAGCTTATGGATGGTAAATTTAATTGATTACCACCATCTCCTACGTATCATATAACGGCCTCCGTACTATATGTTGGTAACATTACATCCTCTGTCTCTGTGCTGCTTATGAAGTGACATTAGGTTATAATGTTTGTTAGGAAACTTGAACCCCGTCATTTCTGTTCTGGTTTTTGTTTGCATTTTAATATTTACAAATATGAAAGCTTTTTTTCCTCTAGCTCCATTTTCAAGCAACATGGCATAGACTTTGAGCTTTATTCGCTAACATTTTGCAGTCATGGGAATGTGAGTTCAGAATGCAGGGGCAGAGAAGTAAATCAAGAGAGTGTGTCAGCACTCATTCATTCTTACTGGTGGCAGTGTTTTAAATTCACTTTTCACAAGGGTAAGCTCCTGATACAGCTAGGTAGTTAAAAAGTGCCTAACTTCAAACATTTGAGTGATTTCACTGACCTGGATGGAACTAGTCGTGTCGTTAAAGTTGGGGATGTGTTTAAGCACCTTGCTGAATCAGGAGATATATGACTAAACAAAGTGCAAGGCAGAAGATAATCAGGCTAAATAGGTGTAAGAGGTAAGTCTGAATGAGGTTCATTATGGAATAATCCACTCTTGAGCTCTCAACCTTTATGTTTCCTTCTACTCAGACTTCACATGATCAGGTTGTGTGGGGAAGATGAAATGCATCTAGTGGGCAGGGTTCAGGGCTCTGGTGCAGCTCCCTCAACTGCTTCTCCACTTGAGCCATATGCTAGGGCCATTTGATCCATGATGATCTCCTGCCCTCTCCTTCCTGGAATTCCCACTGTCATCCTTCATGTCCAGCTACGCAGGGCCAGTATGGAAGTCTCCATTTAGATTGGGGATGCTGAGGCCTCTTGTACAACCACTTCTCTAGGTGCTCCTACTTTTCACAGCTCATTATGGGGTTAAGCTTTTGGAAGGCTCCTTTGTGCTTTGTCTAGGCTTTGTGTTGAATATCAGTCTAATTCTTCATCATCACCTCTATATCAGAGGCAGCAAGTTGGGGAGGAAGCAGGAGCCAGTGCTGGGGAAGCCGGCTTAAAAGCTGGTTTCCTCCCAGCACTGTGTCTGTGGTGTGGGGAGATAGACAGGGGAGGCAGAGGCGCAGCGGAGAACCCACTGCGAGTGGGGACTGAAGCAGTCCCTGCTTGTGCTGGGTTCCCCGCTGTGCCTCTGCCTTGGAAATGTAGCAAGAGCCGCAGTCAGCTCTTACTGCGTTTCAAAGGCAGAGGCAGGGCAGGGATAGCGAGCCTCCCCCACCCCCATCGGCTAATTGAGTAGTCAATAGAAATTCCATTGACTACTCAATTAGCTGATTAATCAAAATTTAACATTCCTAATTTATTGCAACATAACCAGGAGTTATCTTATTTCTAAGTATAGGAAAATACTGTTGTGGTTCAGATGCTATGATTCAATACGTGTCAGTAAATTGAGCTTGCTCTGTGCATTCTGTGTGTGAACATGTCTGGAAAGATAACGATAGAAAACCAATTAAGTTTCTTAGTATGAGAATTTTTAATATTCATACTTTTAATACTGGACTCTGATACTTTTATTTAATTTGGTGTAGAAAGTAGAGATGACGCTAAGATAGTGAGTTACCACTGGGAGGAAATTAAAGGTCCCTTGCGAGAACAGAAGGCATCAGCTGATACGCCCGTTTTGCACTTGTCTAACCTTGTTCCTGGAAACTATACTTTCCGGTAAGTGGGCTGCTTTCCCACTTTCTGTTTCAAGCTTCACGTTATGACTTCAATTCAAGATCTTTTTCGTTTTGTATGTCCTTTGGACCAGGGACCATTTTTTCATTCTTTTTTTGCGTGGTGCCTGGCACACTAGGGTTGTGGTTCATGACTAGTATACCTAGGTACTACAATAATACAAATAAACAACCAAATTCTTTGTAGTGATGTTTGCCTCCTCGAACAGAGGGCTATGTCTCTTGCAAATTATTTCTCTCAGTTTAGCTTGTTACGTTATCCTGCTGCCTCAGATTATGCATAAATGCATGGATTTCACAAGACTGGCAGGTTGCATCACATTTTGCTGTGCAGCATGATGTTCTGCAAAACGATACATCAGAAATTCAATCTCCCGGCCCTGTTTTCTGTAATTGAGGAGAAAATGTTTTCATTTAATTATTTTTCATTCCACAAGTTGGCAGCTGTCCTTGTTACCTCTATGTAGTCAACTGTTGTCATGCTCTAAAATTAACTGTAGACAGAATGGGATTAGGCGACTTCTCGCAGCAAAGCACTTGGGAGAGTCAATATTGCAAAAATCATTAACTTCTTCAGTAAAGCCTTTTGACTGTTACCATTTGCATCCCAGCATAGCCTGCTGAATCTGAAACCAGTCCAACAGAAAAGACCCGTGTTGTAATTTTGAGTGCTTGTTCAGTAAGACAAATTCTCCTTTTTTTTCCCCTCTATCTACTTTTAGTGTAGGGCCCAATCTTGCTCTCTTTAGGATGCAGAATGGTCACTGACTTCAACAGGTGATTTGCTTGCTAATGCAAACCCTAAACTTGATTCAAAAATCAATTTAGTTATGAAATAGCCTAATAGCATAATGTCACTGAGGTGTTAGAACTTGACAGGATTTCACATAAATGTGTGGAAAATGCGGTCCTCTGTGCAAGGTTTGTGCGCTAATGCTTGCTGAGGCATACAGGTCCATATTGTGTTCTCAGTTATACAGATGTAAGTCTGGAGCCACTCTAATGACTTAATGAGTTCCTCCATATTCACAATACTGTAAAGGAGACTGGAAAGTGACCCATTGCCCCTATTGGGGATGCTAGAATGCCTTCTAAGCAAGGATCTTGAGCAAGCACTCAAAATTATAACAAGGGCTATGTCGCAACTGAAGCTCTTTTCTGGGATACAGGAGGTATCTCAGAAAAGCTCTGCCACGTCCAAGGAACGCATCTGCTTTTCTGAAAAAAAGTTTGGAAAAGCAGATGTGTTCTTTCACCATCCCTGTAAACCTTGTTGTACGAAGAAGGGATGTGCTGAAAGAGGAGGCTTTTCCAAAATTTGGTGCCACGGAAATGTGCCAAATTTTGGAAAAGCCTCTTCTGGGGAAAAAAAAAAAAAAGCGGGAAAAAGATATGCAAATTGCATTTTGCAATTTGCGTATCTTTTTCCGCGTTTTCTTTGTAGTGTAGATACAACCTCAAAGTGCTATTCATACACTAAGGACTTAAGTCTGTCAGGTGACCATTTATTATATCCATCTACAGACGGGTCAGTTGAAGTATGGAGATCTTAAATTATCTTTCTAAGGCCACAAAGGCAATCTGTGGCAGAAATGAGAATAAAACCCTGAGCACTTACCTGCCAGTCCTTTTGCTTGCTATGTAATACTTTCCTTCCCTTCATGATAGAAGCACTTTTATGCTGACTGTGCCCAATTTTGTGGAATGCTTCAAAGTGCACTCCCGCCAAGTGTTCTGTTATATACATTAGGCACAACAGAGCTCAGTTAAATCAAGATGAGTTCAGATACCACAAGGAGCAGCACAGTGTAAACACTTTAACAGATAGCTTTACCTGAATTTAATTCACATGCAAATCAATATTGCAGTCTTAAAGTGTAAGGGGATTTCCATTTTGTTTATTGTTAGCAGTAATAGTATTTTGTACTGCATGGTTTTGGTAATGGAACTTTGGCCTCCATTAACAAAACTTCAAAATTTTGGGGTGATGCTAAGTCCCATTAAAGCAAATTAATTTTAATTCTACCAAAGGAAAAAAGAAGACCCAATGAATGTTAAGTATCAGAGGGGTAGCCGTGTTAATCTGGATCTGCAAAAGCAACAAGGAGTCCTGTGGCACCTTATAGACTAACAGATGTACTGGAGCATAAGCTTTCATGGGCAAAGACCCACTTCATCCGATGCATGTTATGTTAATTATTTTACAGTGAATGTTAATTACTTTACCTCTGCTATCTAATTTGAGAACTTCTTAAGCAATCTTTTCCTCAGGCCAGGTCTACACAGGCTGAGAAAATTTGATGCAAGATAAGCAACTCTAGCTACATGAATTGCATAGCTGGAGTTGATGTACCTTGCATCAATTTTTCTGGGGTGGCCCCACAGTAGGAGGTCAATGGGAGAAACGCTCCCATCAGTTTTCCTTACTCCTTGCAACGGCCAGGAAAGAGTACCAGCACTGACAGGGGCACCCTCAGTGTTCGATTTAGCAGGTCTTTACTAGGCCTGGTAAATCAAACCCTGGAAGATCAATCACCAGAGTGTCGATCCTCTGCTAAGTGGAGATATGGCCTCAGTTTTTAATAGGAATGAGTATGCTTTAGATGGGGAGCTAAATCCTTGGGGTTTTACTCCCTTTTGTTAGGAATTTTGGGACTTGGGATGAAATGTTGTCTCTGTTTGAAGTCAACAGGAACTTTTCCATTGACTTAAATGAGGAAAGAATTTCACCGGTGGTCCAGAACAGGTAGAGTTAAAAATTACAAGTATATTTTCAGTGTAGTGCAAGGCAGTGCTCGGAAATAATTTCCTCATCATTTATTTAAGACCTGAGTTTAGGAATCTGGATTTCCCTTGTAGCAGTTGATCACGTCAGAAACCCCTTACATCAGAGTAGGAAAGTGCTCTTGACTTTGCTATGTTTTAGGTGCTATTTTTTGCCATCTCCTGTTGCAGGAGGAAAATAGGCATCTGACCACAGAATTGGGCAGAAAGCCAGCCTAATGGATTTTCAATATCCTTCTTCCTCCTGTAGGTTAACAGTAATCGATTCTGATGGAGCAGCTAACTCCACAATTGCATCTCTGACGGTCAACAAACCAGTGGATTACCCGCCCATTGCCAACACAGGACCAAATCAGGTGATAACTTTGCCCCAAAACTTCATCATATTGAATGGAAACCAGAGCAATGACGATCATGAGATTGTCAGCTATGGGTGGTCGCTTAGCCCCAAAAGTAAAGGCAAAGTAGTAGCAATGCAGGTAAGCTGATTTCTTGCTTAATATCAAAAGCTTGTTTTATCTTTTGCTTGAATTAGAGCAAATACGTGCCTAGAAACTGCCACCACATTTGTTAGTTATTTAAAATGCATTGTTACCCCCTTTTTGATACAGGTAAAGTATACACTTCTTGTTTTAAATTCTTTTCTGAGACTGTAGATGTTGTTTTAATTCCTTTTGTTGTTTTATTAATTGATTTTGTGCATCTTGATTTCTGCAAGCAGCACCATTATTTGTTCCCTTTGGTTCAACAGGAATACCAGCCCTCAATTTCTCTTCTTGGATCCAGCTCTTAACAGCTACATTATCCCTTCAGATTCAAGCTTTTAGGGTTGTGTAAGTTGTTTCCATTAGGAGAAGAAATTGATGGTGGCGTGTTTCTTTATACAAACCTGTTTTATGTACAAAGAATGTGCAGAACCAAGTCCTGTTTTCCTGAACACAAGAGGAACATATCACGGAGGGAAGTTTCTTTGCTCATGTTTCCAAAGCTCTTTCCAGCCAGCTCTCTGCCTCTAAAGCTCTCTCTGGGCTTTCTTTCAGAGCCACATTATAAGGTGATGAGTCATCCCTGAACTAGAGTTCTGATTAAGCCACGAGCACTGATGAGACATTCTGTTGCTAGGTCCAGCCAGTCCCCAAGCCAGGAACTGATCTGGTGACTCTTAGGGCAGGTATATATGTCTCATAGGAGAAACAGTGCCTCAGTCTGCTCAGTGTCATTCCAGGACTTAGAATTGTCCCCCACCTGCCTTAACTTGCTCCAGCTGTGGTCTTGCTCCATCCCTGTTTCTAGTCCTGGTCTGGCCTTGCTTTTGCTCTGGGCTCGCTCTAACCCTGCTCTGGACTTCTGATTCCAGTGCTGAGCCTCCTGCCTCGGACCACTTGGCCTGGCTGCCACAGCTTTGTCTGTGAGGCATGATCATCCCCACAGTCGTTTCTGACTACATTACCAGAGCTTCCCTTGCTGGGCACCTGGCTTGTCCATTTTGAAAATAAGGGTGTTTCAGGGCTTGCTGACACTGTTTCTGCACCACTATTGTTATTTTAGTTCAGAACTGGTTGTATTTCAATTGATACAAACCTGTAATATGGACTGAGTTATTCCTTTTGCTATTCTCATTCATAGCAGCTTTCTACTGCTATAACTGTTCATAATAGAAGGTTGCACTGATGTTAGCTATATTGGTTTCTAACTTGGTACAGAAAAGCTCTGAGTCTGAGAAATAACATGTCTGCACAACCTGTAACTATAATTCCGGCAGTTACTACAGCCCAAGCAGCTCTCTGGTGCGAATGGGACAATGGCTCAGAATGTCTAATGGGCTTATCAGCTGTCTGACGCTGAAATGAGAGGACATGTTACAATTCCTGCTCAAGAATTGGAAAGAGTCTTTGTGGCTACAAAGCTGAGGATTGTAGACTGTTGCATTTGCCAGTAGCTAATGTTTAGTACAGAAATGAGTGCTGATGGTTAATTTAATAATAAAATTATACATTAGCTAGCTGTAAATGATATCTTTAATTCAAAGACATAGGTGGTATTGCATCATAATTTGCTAGGGGGATATGCATTCTTATGATGCCATAAATGATCACTTATTAATTTAGTTGATTAGGTGGGCTATATTGGGCCCATTATATTTAAATATCAGATTATTATGTTATTAATTGTATGATAGGCATTATGAGAGAATACTTTATAGGCAATATACTTCTAGAACCAAATCCTGATCCACTAAAGTCAGTGACATAACTTATTATGATATTAGTGATATTAACTTCATTGTGCACAGGATTTGGTCCCTCTGTATGCTAAATATTTTCTTTATTGTCTTCCAATGAAAATGTTAATGATGAATACACAGTATAATGTTATAAGATGTTTTATGGATATAAAATAGCTGCCTCCATAAACCTATATTATCTTCCCTATATGAATACAATCAGAGAGGGGTCAACAAACATGTGGACAAGAGGGATATAGTGTACTTAGATCTCCAGAAAGCCTTTGACAAGGTCCCTCACCAAAGGCTCTTAAGTAAAGTTAATTGTCATGGGATAAGAGGGAAGGTCCTGTCATGGATTGATAACTGGTTAAAAGACAGGAAACAGGGTAGGAATAAACAGTGAGTTTTCAGAATGGAGAGAGGCAGTGCTTTTTTTGTGACAGTACTGCCCGGTATGCAGAACTGGCACCTCCAGTCAGAGCTTACCTGGAAAGCACGGAGCATACCGGCACCTCTGTAATGAAAATGGCCATCTTTAAGGGGCTGCGTCTCTTAAAAGGGCAACACTAAGCCCCTTTTTTGACCACAACTTTTCCCTTGGAGTACCATCACTTTTCTTTCTTTCTTTCTTTTAATTTAATTTAATTTAATTTAATTTAATTTAATTTAAAATAAAAAAAAGCACTGGAGAGAGGTAACTAGTGGTGTTCTCCAAGGGTCTGTACTGGGACCAATTTTGTTCAACCTATTTATAAATGATCTGGAGAAAAGAGTGAACAGTGAGGTGGAAAAATTTGCAGAGGATTAACTGCTCAAGACAGTTAAGACTAAAGCAGACTGTGAAGAGCTTCAAAACGATCTCACCAAACTAAATGATGGGCAACAAAATGACAAATGAAATTTAATGTTGATAAATGTAAAGTAATGCACATTGGAAAAATAATACCAGCTATACATACAATATGATTGGGACTAATTTAGTAATAACTACTCAAGAGAGCCAATATGATGGAGTCATTGTGGATAATTTTCTGAAAGCATTCACTTGATATGCAGCGGCAGTGAAAAAAGCAAACACAATGTTAGGAGTCATTCAAAAAAGGGATAAAGTAAGACAGAATATCTTATTGCCTCTATATCAATCTATGGTACTCCCACATCTGGAATACTGTGTACAGATGTGGTTGCATTATCTAAAAAAAGAAATATTGGCATTGGAAAAGGTTCAGAAAAGGGCAATGAAAATGATTAGGGGTTTGGAATGGGTCCCATATAAAGAGAGATTAAAAGGACTGGGACTCTTCAGCTTCGAAAAGAGGAGACAAGGGCAGGGATATGATAGAGGTCTATAAAATCATGACCAGTATGGAGAAAGCAAATAAGGAAAAGTTATTTACTTGTTCCCATAACATAAAAGTGAGGGGTCACCAAATGAAATTAATAGGCAGCAGGTTTAAAACACACAAAAACAAGTTTTTCTTCACACAGCACACAGTCAACATGTGGAACTCCTTGTCAGAGGATGTTGTGTAGACCAGGACTTTAACAGGGTTCAGAAAGAACTAGATACATTCATGGAGGTTAGGTCCATCAATACTTATTAGCCAGGATGGATAGGAATGGTATCCCTAGCCTGTGTTTGTCAGGGGCTGGAAATGGATGACAGAAGAGGGATCACTTGATGATTACCTGTTGTGTTCCCTTCCTCTGGGGCATCTGGCATTGGCCACTGTCAGAAGATAGGCCAGATGGGCTAGATGGTCCTTTGGTCTGTCCCAGTATGGCCATTCTTATGTTCTTACTACATGTAAGCAACTTTGCTTTGTCTAAATAAAAAGGCATTAAGGAAATGAAACAAGTTGTAATAATAATGTTCATAATTTAACTTGTTAGTTATGAATGTAAATGTCACGTGCTCTATAAGACATTTTGTTGCTCATTACCATTGGTTTAAAAAAATAATCTGCCATTATAGCAAAATAAGAAATCTACATTTGGCACCATATGAAACAACAGTACTGTTTGCATAACCATCTGCTAGTGTAACTGAAATTTGCTTTTAAATTGATTTTTCCCTTGAAACACATTTGATCAGGCAAAATGTTTGTTCATGTTGTAAATTAAAACTGTATGTTGACTACTATACTAAGTTGCATTGTTTGGGCCATTTTGTACATTTTATTTCTCCATCTCTTGTAATCCTCTGTTTTTAATGACTAGGGAGTGCGGACACCATACCTCCAGTTATCTGCAATGCAGGAGGGAGATTATACATTTCAGTTGACTGTTACGGACTCAGCTAGACAGCAGGCCACAGCTGAGGTCACAGTGATTGTACAGCCTGGTATGTAGACTGCAGGTTTCCCTTCATAGATGATAGATTGGCATCATAATTATAGCTGTTTTTGAAGGCCCTGCTTATTTGAATCGCTCTGCATTGAATCTGTCAGCTGGAAGACAGAGTATCCAATGATTGCTGCCTCAAAGACTCTCTCTTGCTTTTGTCTTTTAAAGGTGAACAGCAAGTTAAAAATAAAATTGACGAGAGCATGTCTGTCTCTGCTGACAGCTCCTGCTAAGCAGATAACATAAGGCATTCAACACAGAAGTACACTTGGACTGATTTTTTGAAAGATAAAATGCAGTTCTGTGCTGAATTTCCTGCACAGCCAGCCTGTTTAGCGAAGTCGTTCGGCACATAAGTCAGTGCTTTCATTTTGCTCTGCATTTCATCTTCAGGATTCCTTTTGTGGTTTCAGTTCTCAGTAGATGGCTTTATAAGCGTTGGTGCTGCTGGAAGTTGGTGGATGTCCACAGCGGTGGATGAATCTGACCCCCTATTCCCACTAGGAATATAGTTAAGTGGAACACAGAGATAAACTAGAAAAAAGTACCCTGAGGCTGATGATACAAAGCATTTTTAAGTGCTGTGTATGAGACGATGCAAAAGCTCTTTACATGTGATTGTACCATGAAAAGTGAGTGTAAAATGCTATTGTGGGGAGGGATGAACTCCATACTTTGTGCCCCATTCTGGGCACACCCTTACCTGCCAGACAGAATCTGTCCCACTCTAGGGAGTAAGTAGTTCTTCAGAAACCTACCGTGGAGGATCTTACAGATTTCTATAACCCAGACCTTTGTGATCTTTGCCTTTGCAGTCTTCGAGCAAATGTGTACCGCTTATCTTTTTTACATCAAAATGTCTGTATACATTTAAAAATAGACTGATAACTCTCACCATGATTGATTAGGAAATGTGTTGTATTTTAAAATACTATTTTTACAGAAAATAACAGTCCTCCAGTAGCGGTGGCTGGTCCAGATAAAGAGTTAACATTTCCGGTAGAAAGCACTACACTGGACGGAAGCAAAAGCCATGATGACCAAGGCATTGTTTTCTATCACTGGGAAAATATCAGGTATCTAGCAAAAATGAGGTTAGTCTAATTGCTTGGCTGAAAGAGTATCCAACACAATTATCAAGGAAATGCAGGACTGAAAATAGCTTTGGGATTGATGCTGCTTTGCTTGATGGGATAGAAGCTTTATAGCAGTGAGAATATGTAAAGGGTTTAAACCAGGGGTGGGCAATAATTTTTGAAGGGGGCCACCTCACAAATTTCTGAAGTGGTTGTGGGCTGCCCTGGAAAGGGTGGGCCCTCAGGCGGAAGTGGGAGCAGGGCCAAGAGGCTTCCTGTGCTCCCCTTCCCACAGACCCGAATTGGCTTGGGGGAGAGGGAGCGCATGAAGTCTTTGTCCCTCACCCCTCTGGTGTCTAGAGAGAACCACCAGCTGTTTTGAACACCTGGCATTCCTTCTAGGTGCTGAGCTCCCTTGGCAGTGGGAGGAGACTTTGCACGCTTGCCAAAGCCAGGCCAGTCAGGGCCTGGGAGCAGGATATGTGTGAAGTCTTTGCCCCACCACCGCCCTGCCAGGGGTGCACGGTGCCTGTAGTGAACCGCCAACTGTTTTGAACTCATCCCACCTAAGCTCTCTTGCCCACCCCTTGTTTAAACAGAGCAAACTGGTGCCCCACAATGTTCACTTGAAAACCTTTTAGCCCATTTATTTCACTGTAAATGAGCCCTGATCTTAGAAACACAAATCTGAGTTTATTCCTAATGAAAGGTACTGCTGTATGTACACAGCCAGGGAGGTGACTGGAAGAGAGGAAGGGTCATGTCCTGATACTGTGTCTCTTTGTGTCTCCATCCCCAACCAAAATATGAAAGCAAACAGTGTTGGATTTCCTGGATGCCATGTTAGGCTGTTGCATGCATGTGCCATTCTGCTAAGTGTGATTGAGCTGTGTGTCTGGTGATATAGAGAGATGTCAGATTCAACTTGAAAGCTTGTGAGATTTCTGCCTGCGTCTTGTAATGGGACCTGGTTGATTAGTACATAAAAATGTTTGTAAAAAATGGCATGAACTCACAAGGCCTCCATTAAAAAGTGCATAAGAGAGTTGCATATCAGTATACGGTTGTGCCATATGTTCCCAGATTAGTCTTCAGTGAATACAATGGAGTGAATGATTGCTTAAATTCCAAATATGTTTGGGTCAGGGTTTTCAACAACATACTGGACGGGATTGTTTCTATGTATGGATTGTATTTTTAACTTTAACATCTTTGGACAGTGATTTACAATTTTATACCTTTTGGGTTTGTATGTACAAAGTCACTAGATCCTTACCAAAAAGTACCAGATGCGAAGCTATTCAGCTATCACATTTGCCACATAGTGGGCCCCTTGTTTGCTGACACTCTGTATATTTAGTGACTGTGTGTCACTCCTATAATTACAGTAAATGTGTCCACAAGTATTGTAGACATATTAGAGCAGGAGAGTGGGAATTGGTATTCCCGGATTCTTTTCCTGCTCGTGACTTTGTGTGACCATGGGCACCTCTGTTTGCCTTTCTTTCACTTGAAGCATCTGCAGAAATGAGTTGTATTTCACAAAAAATTTATGCTCTAATAAATGTGTTAGTCTTTAAGATGCCACCATGTTCCTCATTCTTGCTGCTTGCCTGGCTTTATCTGTAAAACAGGTATAAAAATTCAGATTCTGAGAGCCAAATTTGTGTCTGGAGTAGTTCCAGTGCTATCAGTGCTTAGACACTGCTTCATAAATGCAAATGGAATAAGTGACAGAGTAACACCAAGGGGAGAATTTGTCCTGTTGTCATGATTATTTGCCTGTGGTGTTTTGTTTCAGTGGGCCAACCCCTGTGCAAATGGAAAATATTGACAAAGCAGTGGCAACTGTAAGTGGTCTGCAAGTTGGTACCTATCACTTCCTCTTGACTGTGAAAGACAGCCAGGGATTAAGCAACACAGCCACACTCTCTGTTACTGTTAAAGAAGGTAAGTCAAATTGCCTCTTCATGTGCACAGCAATGGGACTTGCCAGTTATATTGATCAATTAGAAAATGGAAGGAAATTAGAACTAGATGACAGATTGGATTTCAGGGGAACTCGGAGAAACCTGCTGGACTTAAAATCAAGATATATCATTTCATATGTGACTATAATAGAATTACTTCTAGGACTTCCTTTTAACTTCAATTACATATTCAAAAAATCTTGTTCCTTCTTGGTATGAATATCTTGGGGCCGATGATCTCTATGGGCTAGCATCGCTGTGTTAAAGATGCACTTTGTTCTACTGCATGCAAATCAGCTGAGGCACTTATTGCAAAATCTGCTTGTGTGTACAGAGTGTCCCCGCTATAAGTCGCCCCAGGATACATCTGTTCTGCACTAAAGTCATTGATGCTTATAGGAACTGATGCATTATTAAGTCCTCCCGTTCTCCACTCTTAAGTTAAACCAAAAACAAACAAACAAACAAAAAGAACAGCGCAAATGGAAGTCAGCCGCAGGTGGTGGAGGGGAGGGGAGTAATACCCCACTCGAAGTTGTTTTGCTATAAGTCCAAGGTTTTTTTGGAACATATCTTGGACTTGTAGTAAGGATGGCCTGTATTCTGCCAAGTTATTTCTTTGTAGCCTTACATGCCATTCCGTTCCTTACAGGTAGTACCTTCTTACTCAACAGTACTGCTCTGTGTACTGTGTTTTTAATGTTTTTTGCTCCTGTTAGTAATGCAGTACCAGTACAGCTGGGGGAAAAGCTGGTCTCTATATTCCTTCATGTGTATCATCAGCAGAACTGTTTACCAAATTCCAATTAGAGGTCCAACGTGTGACACCAGTGCAAACCCACTGAAGGCAGAGGACTGCACAGGTATTGCTGAGGGCATCGGTTGAAGACACTGTTGCCTCTGAGAACCTTCTTTGAGCTGGGAAGGCTGTGCTAGTGGCGATCAAGAAGAGAAGAATCCAGCTTGTGTCTCAGATCCCTAGTTGAGTTTGTGGGGCTAGCGCTTATGAAAAAAATTTATTTGTAATCTGAGAAAATCTGATCTGGAAATGGAGAGATAAGTGTAGAACTCTATAATGCCATGCTTACAGGTCACTTTCCAAAGTGTGAGCACCTTTCAGCAGTAACCCTTTCAGTACTGCAGCGATGTTTCTCTTGACTGTAGTATGAGGTGAAATGCAGCTCAGTCATAACTGCTTCCTTGATTTCAGTAGAATCAGACACCTTCTCTCGCTAGGGCTGAATTTCACCTACTCCCTTGCTGACACTTTTAAACAGAATTGTTTTCATTCTCTTTGGCTGCCTGAAACTCAGAGGATTTATACTACAGGCAGGCTGCATGCGTTTCTCTGTAGCCATGTGTCCATTTAGGTCTTACACCTTTTAAGAGAAACCCTTCCTGTTTTACTGTCTTTGTGGTTAGAAAACAACAGTCCTCCTCGGGCTCATGCCGGAGGCAAACACGTTCTTGTGCTTCCCAATAACTCTATAACCTTGGATGGCTCCTGGTCTACTGATGACCAAGGAATTGTATCTTATCTGTGGATTCGAGATGGCCAAAGCCCAGCAGCTGGGGTAAGTGTTTTGAAAGTATTTAATTGGGGACAAAATCTGCCCTCTCTTACTTGCATACAAGCACTTTGACTTCATGTACCGTGTTGGCAGCTGTCCCAGCCAGTCGCTGTAGTAAGGATTGGTATGAGTCTGGTTTTATTTCACAACTGTATTCATGAATGATGCAAGGGGTAAATGGCACTTCAATTACCTTTGTGGAGCATGCTCTGTTTGGAGGGGTGGAGCAGTAAGGTTAGAGATGCGAAAGACACTAGATAGAGCTTAAAAATATGGTCACATGACAGTAAAATGAGATAAATCTGGGTAAAAAAAAACAAACAAGCTAATGCACCGGAGGGGGAATAACATGAAACCCAGATATTCAAAAAGGAGGAAGCTCATTGTAAAGCAAAAGGCTGATAAAGCCCAAGGAACTTGTAATGTGAGGTGATGACAAAGAAACCAATATGGTTTTGTCATAGACCAAAGAGCTGATAATCTCCTTCCATAGGACACAGGTGGAACTCCCCCCCCAGAATGCTGTGTGTGGATAAGAGCTCTTCAGTATCACAAAGATGATGACAAATTAGCAGGAACTGGAGGAGAAAGAGGAGCAAAATGATTATGAATCAGAAGGGAGTCATTTATGTGGGAACATTAAAAGAACTGAATACGTTTAGCACAATAACAATACAGAGAGATATGTCTGCATATATCTAAAAGGTATAAACATCCAAAGGAGAGGAATTGTTCAGAGTACAAGGAGGTAGAACACAGAATATTGGGATAAAATTGAGAAACAAAAATGTAGACCTACTCCTATATTTTTAAACAGATGTACATCTAAGTATGTCTGCCTTGAACACAAGTTTTCCTTTTACTAGCTTCATGAAAGGGGTGCACGCTTCATGGGCATATACATACCATTTAGGCTATGTCTGTGCTGTAACTGGAGGGGTAATTTGCAGTTTGTGGTGACGTACCCACGCTATCTCTAATCTAGTTTGCTGCATCCTCTCTGCTATTTTTAGAGCTGATTAGACTAAAACTAGCATGGGTATGTCTGTACAAACTGTACATGATGGCTCGCAGTTGCAAATGGAGACCTAACCTAATTAATACTCACACACTTGCACTGGTCCATTGCAACTCCTGGCGATTCTGGGAAGGATTCTTTTGAGATGGACTCTGTTGTTTGCTTTTAAGGTCTGAGGGCAAGTGTTGTGCTGGAATCCACTTGGATGACAATTGTTTAATCAAGACTGCATGTTTTTTCTAAAAGATCTGCTCTAGGAAGTATTTTGGAGAAGCTCCATGGTCTGTTATACAGCAGCTTGGATTGGATGATCACAGTGACCCGTTCTGGCTCTGAAATCTATGGATCCACATTCTGCAGCCAGACTGATGTACAGCTTGCTAGCCTCAGCCCTCTCCAGGATTATAACCCTCTGCTGCTTTCTTTTTTTTGTTTTTTTGTTGGGGGGACAGGATGTGATACATGGCTCAGATCATGAAGCAGTTCTGCAGTTAACCAATCTTGTGGAAGGTCTCTATACTTTTCACTTGAAAGTCACAGATGCTAAAGGAGATTCAGCTGTTGACACTGCTACGATTGAAGTGCGGCCTGGTATGATCATTAAAAAGTCCTCTGTAAGCTGTGTGTATTTCCACATTGCTTTGCTTTGCTGTGGGCAGTCTCCTGTCAGGTTAAAAATCATGGGTCTGATTCTCCACCACTTGTTCAATGGGTGCAAAATACTGTTATGTAGGGTAGAAAATGTGTCTTTGCTGAATGCAGGATGCCTATTTAAAATCATTCTTATTCAAGTGAGTTCAACGGCAATCATTCATGCAAGTGTGCAAATTACCACCAAGTTGACTGAGCTCCTATTAAATATTAAAGTAGCAGGATCCTCTTTGTTTACCTTTTTATCCTTAAGGCTTTAGGGTTCAAACAGGAATAGGTGTCACACACTTCCATATACCGCTCTCCCATAGAGGGGTGACTGACTGACCTGACCCTCTCTGCCTAGCTAGGCCCCCAGGGCAGACCAGCCTCTCCAGATATCCTTCTTGGACAATATGTGGTATGGGCATGCAGAATCATATGCTCCCCTGCTCTGATTTCTGCCAGGGTTTACACTGGACTGTGGCCGGCAGCAGCCGGGTAGTGGGAAGGGATGATAGTGCAGAGCTTATCTATTCCCTTCCCCCCACTCCCCAATCACCACTCCTGTGTGGCTGGCAGCAGCTTGTCCCATTCTGCCTGTGCAGTGTCAAAAGGCAGGGAACATCTCCAGGCTGCTGCTGACCACCAACATAACTCAGCTGCTGCTTGTTCCCAGGCTGCAGCATGGGCAGGAAAGGGTTAAGCCATAAGGCTGCATTGTGCAGCGGGGCCCAGGGAACCTAAAGTCAGGGGCTTCAGCGAATCTGGCCCGAGAGGTGGCTCGGCAGAGGAGGGTGCCTACAGGATGGAGCAACCCTCCATTTCCTGGGAATAGGACCTGGGGTGGGGCCAAGTCAAGAGAAAGTTAAACTCCTACCCCCGGGGTGGGCTCTGGAGTCTGCAGGTTCAGGGTATTAACAGGCTGGAAATCACTTCCCCGGGCCGCCACTCCAGAGCTTAGCTGAAGGGCAGAGAGGCTTTTTGGTACCAGCATTGTGTGGGGCTTAGGCACATGCAGGGCTCGGGTCTTGGTCTTTTCCAGGGAGCTGGCCCAGGCAGAGGCGGTGGGGGGAGGAAAGAGCAGACTGTTGGTGAGCTGAGTGCTCCGGTCAGAGGCTGGTTCTCCACGTAGCCATAGGAGCAGGATGTACAGTGCCGGGGGAGCATACAGAGGAGCAGTGGGATGGGGGGGTGGGGTTTGAAAGGCAGGGGACAGGGAAAAGGGAAGCAAGTCAAAGGGCTGATGGGTGAGTAGCAGAGGTGGCAGGTAACCAGCCACCACCTCGTGCCTGCCCACACTCACCAACCACCGCAGCCTGTGCCAGCTAGAAGCAGTATGTGGGGGTTGGGCCAAGCTGGCTGAGAGCCAGAATGCAGTGGTGGCTGTGCTGACAAACCAGCAGGAGGAGCAGCCATCCCATACACTGCATCTTGGATCCATCATCAGCCTTACACACCCACCCCTACTGTCAGTCACTGATGAGCAGGCAGCTGACACGCAGGGATCTTGCCAGTAGCAGAACTTGCCAGTACTGATGAGGGAGAGACTGAATATTTGTCTGTTTTTAGGAAAAAGTTAGGACACCTGCTACAGGGCTTAAATATGGGACTATCCCTTTAAAAACAGGATCTCTGGTCACCCTGGTCTAATTATATCTCAATTCTCTGTTTACATGCTTTTGTGATACTATTTTACGCCTACTTTGCACAGGTGTAAATGCCCACAACTTTTTCAGTTAGTGGAGAATCAGGCCGCAAGGTTTTAAAAAAATCACTTTCTTGACTATATTACAAGTAAAAACCTTTGCTTTTTAAAACTGAAAGGCACATTTATAATACTTATTCTTCATTATTTGTTTCAGTTTTGTATTTCAGTCAGTTGGGACAATGCAATTAGATAAATCACTTTTATTTTTGTCATTTACTGCTCAGTTACGATTCCTGCTCTCACGGCCATATTGCAATGTTGGGGTGAAAAAATGCTTCCACAGACTCTTCATTTGTTTATTATATGAAATGAAGTGTCTGTCTTTATATTTTTTTCTTGGTTTTAAGGTTTGTTTGTTTGTTTGTTTTTTAATCGGGTGGATAATTTTGTGGTGAAGACAACAAGGTGTGTAATTGGGAGATCTGAATACTAACTGGGGTTCTTCCATGGATTTCCTATGCGATATCATTTATGGTTAAGTCACTCTGCCTCTATGCAATGTTTTCTTCTGCATAGTCAGGATAATACTTACTATGTCACTGAGGTGGTTGTGAGGCTTGTGATGTGGGAAAAGATCCACAGAAGGGCAAAATATCATTACAATATTTAACACAACCCACATTATAAAGTCAGATTTGCTTAAAAATGTCTAACTTTTTTGCCCCAAATATGTATTCCTTCATTTAGATAGACTCTTGTAAAAATGTTCTGTCCCATGAGTGCTAGATTTAAGCACATATTAGTTGCAGCATTGAGGGAGGCTTTTAGGTCTGGAGAAGTTGAGATCAGCTTGTTGGTGTGAACTCACTCTCAGGCTTTTAAGCACTGAACTAAAGCACTTAACTGGGTCTGGCCTCTGTGTATGAGTGAGCCCTGCAGGACAGCTGATGAAGAGACTTACAGCATTAGCTGTAAAGGTGCATTGATTCTCATTCTTGTGTGTAGACCCAGTGCTGGATTGTAACTAACTGGGGCACAGGAGAATGAGCTAGAAAGTTAGTCTGGCATGCTTCAAAATTAACTAAAAGTCAAGGGAAGTGGCTGGGAGTACCTGATTTACTAATCACTCCCTTCAGTCAGTACTGAAATATTTGTCAGTGTCTGAAAGTCAGTGCTCAGGTCTATACTGGCACTTTACAGCACTGTAACTTTCTGGCTCGGAGTGTGAAAAAAACACCCATCTAATTGCAGTAATTTACAGCACTGTAAAGCGCCAGTGTGAACCAGGCTAGAGCACTGGGAGCCACATGCCCAGCACTGTTAGCTGCTCCCCTCATGGAGGTGGTGTGTGTTTTTTCTAGAGCGCTGAGAGAGCGGTGGGTTACGTGTAGAGTGTTCATTCTGTGGCTACACTTTCAGTTTAAAGTGCTGCCGTGGAAGCACTGTGGCAGCTGCCCGTTAAACTGTTGAGTGTAGACAAAACCACGATGTGTTTGTTTTCTCAGACCCTAAAAAAAATGGCCTGGTGGAGTTGATTTTGCAAGTTGGGGTTGGCCAGCTGACTGAGCAACAAAAGGACACCCTGGTGAGACAACTAGCAGTGCTGCTGAACGTCTTGGATTCAGACATCAAAGTTCAGAAGATACAAGCCTATTCAGATTTAAGGTATGTAGCTGTCAGAATGTATGTGATTATGGACATGACAGCTGTCCTGTGACTGCCTAAAAGGTACTAGCGGGTTGCATATGAATGGTCACGTGTGTACAAGCACCTAGGGAAATTGCAATAAATGCCCCCAAGAGAGTCATTAAGGGGTATTGTGTGGTTTAACGCACTCATTCTTTATCTGGGCTGTTAGACTTTTCTGAGTTTCTTTTGGGTTGCAGAGAAGCTGCCCAAAAGAAGGTCAATGATCTGCCCACCTCTTCCAAATCTTGTAGTTCAAGGAGGAGTATTGGACTAGGACTTTCCCAGGTGAAAAGTGATGAAGCAGGGAGAGAGGTAGCCCAAGGCGCTAGCTTCTTGGGACCAGACTGTTGAGCCTTACTAGAGCTTTTTGCAAAAGGAGGATCTCTAGGTGCCCTTTTTTGAACCAACTTTGTTCAAAGGAATAAGACAACGCATATACTTATAAATAAATAAGCTACACTGAGGCCAGATCTACACTAGAAACTTAGCTGGTTTAGCAGTGTCAGTCAGGGCTGTGTGGTGGTTTTTTGTTTTTTGTTTTTGTGGGTTTTTTTGTTTTGTTTTTACATTTCTATACCAGCAACAGCCTCTCTATGGGTGTGTCTAGACTACGTGGCTCCATCAACGGAGCCATGTAAATTAGTTTATTCGGCATAATCAAAGAAGGCATGAGGGATATACTTTCACGAGGCATAAGGCTTCCCCAGCCGACAGATTTGCGTCTAGACTGCTGTGCTGTGTCGGATCAGCCGATCGTTTATTTTATTTTAATGAAGCGGGGATTATTTAAATCCCTGCTTCTTTGACTATGCCGAATAAACTAATTTACATGGCTCGACGGAGCCATGTAGTCTAGACACACCCTATAGGTGCAGTTATGGTGACATAAGTGCTTTTCCCAATATGAATTATTATGCTTGAAGAACTGAGAGAAGCTGTACTGGCAGAATACCATAAACAGATTTTTCCTTTTAAAATAGCTTTTTCACTGACAGAATTTCATGGGTCTGCAGGATGGCAGCAGTTTGATTTGAAAAAGAGAGTTTTTATTTTCAAAAGTGGTAAATGAACTTTGTGATTCTTCTCAACTCTGCTGAACTCATTCCAAGTGGCTTTTTGTGCCGCTACGTGGAAGAGTAAAGAGACATTGAGAGAGCTTTCCCTGGAGCATGTGCTTTAGCAATATAGCAGTTCTTCTACAGGCAGTAATAATCCATGTGGCAGATCTATGGGGCTTAGGAAACTGGAACTAGAGAACCTCATTTTTTTAAAAAATTCCCTGCAGACATTTCTTTCCTTCTGTTTGACAGAGATTGTTTTTACTTATCTTGACCTCTTTGTTCATTTGCTGTCTTTGTCATTCCAAAAATTAGATGGAGGTGGACAGACCGAATAAGTAAATGTACGTGTCTGTCCCAGGTCTCTGTGATCAAAGTTCCTTTTCCTTTTTGTACCCTGCCCCCCACTCAAAACTGTGATGTCCAGGTGCTGCTTTATCCACAGCAGTATTGGAACTCTCATCTCCTGAGTAAGTGGAGAGCAGATGGTCACTGTACATGCTCACTGTCTACCTGCTTCTGAGTAACATGGAGAAGTATATACAGTGGATGCATTTGAGTGGCAGATTTAAAGAAGAAAGACTGGAAATTGTTGTACACAGCTGATCTTACTACAGATTTCTGTGTAGCTTGCACATGAGACCTGACAATATGGTTGATGGAATCAGTTGAGATGTCTTCCTAAATTAACTAAATGGTTTCTTAAAAAATCATTTTGGGCACATAGGGCTCTGACTATGTTCCTCCCAAAATGTAAAATCTACACTATAATCAAATGTAATGGTATCTCTACACTTTTAAATCCCAGGGCATGTCTCTACACAGCAGCGTTATTTCGAAATAACAGAGTGCACATCTACACAGCAAGCCTGTAATTTCGAAAAAAGGGGCTTCTTACTCTACCTTCTATAACCCTTATTTCATGAGGAGTAAGGGAAGTCAAAGGAAGAGAGTCCTTCCTTCAACTTATTAGTGTGGACAGCACCAAAAGTCAAATTAAGGTATTTCGACTTCAGCTACCCAATTAATGTAGCTGGAGTTGCGTATCTTTACTTATCTTTAGCCTGCAGTGTAGATGTACCCCCTGTGACTAATTTCCAATTAAAGGATTCATTCCCCCAAAAACCAAATCCTCCCATGCAACTGCAGCATAACATGACATAAGGATTTTATGCTGGAGTGTCAGACATTCATTGGTTCAACATTGGCTCTCTTAATTGCCAGTGTCCCTCAGCTATAAATGACCACTCTCTCTATTGCCCTGATTCTGTTTCCTGCAGTGGGTTTTGGATTAGACCTTAGATATTTATGGGAAAAGAGAAGGCTTTGCACAGACACTTACCTTCCTTCCTCCCCCTTCCCACCCCCCCGCATCCCCCTTCTGTTCTGCAATGTGATTTGTCCTTTTCATATTTGTTCATTTTTTTAAATTGTACCCCCCCGCATCCTCCTTCTGTTCTGCAATGTGATTTGTCCTTTTCATATTTGTTCTTTTTTTTAATTGTATCCTTTGGTATATATGGTTGTGACTACTTTCTTCCACTATTTGATCTGAGGAAGTGGGTCTGGCCCACGAAAGCTCATCATCTAATAAACCATCTTGTTAGTCTTTAAAGTGCTACATTGTCCTGCATTTTGTTATTGTTCCTGAACTGCATGGTAGTGCAACAGCTATGTCCCTCTGATGAATGTGGTTAACCCAGTGGCAGATTAAATAAAATATAGACACCAAAGAGACTGATTTTACATTTCTGATTTCCAGAGTATGGGCTCTTGCAATCAAACTAAATCTCCATTTTGTTTCTGTGTTCTCTCTGCAGCACAGCGGTTATATTCTACGTGCAGAATGGGCATCCTTTCAAAGTAAGAAAGGCTTCAGATGTCACACGGATGCTGCATGTGCAGCTGCTGAAGGAGAAGGCTGACTTCCTGCTTTTTAAAGTTCTGCGGGTTGACACAGTTGGTATGTTCTGCCTGCTGCTTCCTATTTCTTGAAATTTACAGACATCAGAATATTAATTCACATAGGCAGCAAGGGAGCAGAATGTAGTGGCTTTTCTCCCTGCACTGTTTTGCTTCAGTTTTCTGAAAGATGAGGCTTGAAATACCTGTTTATTTAGGACAGCCTTTTGCCAGTTTCTTGCTTTCCTTTTAAAGATAAAAGTGGCAAAGAGTATCATAGCTGTCAATCATTTTGTAAACTAAGGCTCATTTACTGTATATTAGGAAATGTACCATGGTGGGGGAACTATGTTATAACACTATATTATCCCAGCTGAGTTATAACATGGTTTGTTCTTCTCTGCGAATTGGACAAACCTTACTGGAACCTTACTGCTATAATGTAATATAGCATTTGTGTTGTATCCCTAGTGCCTAGATGTTATGCTATTCCCTAACAGGATTATAATTAAGTCCTACCTCCCTTCAGGACATCAAGGCCATCAATTGTCTTATTGGTTGGACCTCTCTGGTCTGGCACCTTTGGGACCTGACCAGTCGCGAACGAGGGAATTTGCCAGACCAGAGGAGGTCCCCTGCTACTGGCTCCCCAGACCACTCTCCCTCCCTGCTGCCAGCCCCAACCACATTCCTCCCCCTCCGTGCCCCAGCCCTGCTATTGGGACTGCCATGTCTGCCACGTCTCTGGCCCTGACATAACTCCCCTTGGGTTGTAAATGATCAATTCCTTTCTGCAATGCCCCCAGTGTCCTGCAGAGTTCCAATTACCAGCAGCTAATGCAGCTGCTGTGCTTGCCACATCCCTAGCCCTGCAACTGGGACTGCCACGGCCCTTCCTGTGCTACTGGGGCTCCAGTGCCAGCCCCAGCTCTGCCGGGCTCTGAGTCGCCAGCCTTTTTGCCATTGGGGCTCCCAGCCAGGGCTCCCTGGTCCAGGAACACCTGTGGTCTCCCAGACCACGTCCCGGTTTTGGGAGGTCCAACCTGTATAGCTCCATCCCCCCAGGTAGTAAATATTGTAGAGTGGGCAGACCCCAAGTGTTTCTTCAGAATCCAAGAGCTTTTCACAGTGATGGTTGGGCTTTCAAGCCAAGTTTCAAGTTTTAATTTGCCATAAAGTCTCAGTGCTGCTGGTAATTGGAACTCTGCAGGTCTCTGGGGGGCATTACAGAAAGGAATTTATCATTTACAACCCAAGGGGAGTTATGCTCAGGATCAGAATGCAAAGGGATAGATACAAGCTGTGGCTCTAAAATAATCATTGATGAATATGGTGTATTTTTGCATTTCCTCTCTGAGGGGAAAAAAGTGACAGTTGTTACACTGTAACGATTAAGGGCTTTTTCAAAATAGAAAATTGGAGGTAAAATGTGCAAATTTGCCTTTATTTTTATTCACCTAAAAGACCAAAAAAATGCTGCAACTTCCTTGTATTTTGGACAGTAATTTATTGCTTAAAAAGTAAGTATATGAATGCCATACCCTCAGGGGTTGTGATGGTATATTTCTTTCAGGCATTTGTATGATATTCATGATGGTAGTGTCTCGGCACATTAATATATCTCAAGTACTCAGCTATTATGGAGACTATACCCCATTGAAATACCCAACAATAAACAAAACTGAACTCCCTGACTCAGGTTACTCCCTAGTGTCAATTAACACCTTTGACTTGCTGACTAATTTAGACCCCCAGCAAATGACTGGAAGATTAGGAACCAGCAGTGATTCAGTTTATTAACAGCAGCAAAAGCAATGGTTTTGGGGGAGGGAGGGGTATATATTTGTCTACCAGTGATGCATGGAAATGCCTCAGTGAAATTCCTGTAGCTCAATTTCTAAGTGACCTTTTTGTTTGTTACCCTCTGCACTGGAGTTGTGGGCAAGAAATGGGCCATGCATCACCCCTGCGCTAGGGTCTCAGCAGCGTGTGCATTACACGCTGCCCTTCTACACTGTAATTATTTTCACATTTGGTTTGTTCTTAGTCTGCCTCTTAAAATGCTCTGGACATGGTCACTGTGATCCCATCACAAAGCGTTGTATTTGCTATCAGCTATGGATGGAGAACTTGATCCAGCGTTACCTAACTGATGGAGAGAGTAACTGTGGTGAGTTTAGATGGCATCGTGTGGTATGTTCTAAGAATGATTTCCCTTTTCTGTGTAGAGTAGTTCTATAAAGGTATCTATGAGTAATACACATACTGAAAGTGAATTAACAATACATACGCCTGTCTTCCAGAACCAACCAACAAAACAAAGAAATGTAGTCATATGACATGAGAAGCAAGTCTGAGCATGATTCTGCAACTTGCAAATCACTCTAGCCCAGTGGCTCTCAAACTTTCCGGACTACAATGAACCCCCTTCAGGAGTGTGATTTGTCTTGCCTACCCCCAACACGTTTCACCTAACTTAAAAACTACTTGTTTACAAAATCAGACACAAAAATACAGATGTGTCTCAGAACACTATTATTGAAAAGATTGTTTTTACTTTGTCATTGTTACCATATACTTACAAATAAATCAACTGGAATATAAATATTGTACTTAGATTTCAGTGCATAGTATACAGAGCAATATAAACAAGTCATTGTATGAAATTTTAGTCTAGATGGACTTCACTAGTGCTTTTTTTATGTAGCCTGTTGGAAAACAAGACAAATATCCAAATGAGTTGATGTGCCCCCTAGAAGATCTCTGGGTACCCCCATTGATACTGTACCCCTGGTTGAGAACTACTGCTCTAGCCTGATACATCAAAACAATTAGGCACATGCTCAAGTTGAAGCACAGTAACAGTCTCATTGACATCCATAGGACTGCTTGTGTGCTTAGCTTAAAGCATGCGCACAATTGCCAAATGGGATCTGAGTGCTCAGCACCTGGCAGGATTGACTTGGATGTAACAGCTTCTTTAAAGGGGACATTCTTTTCATGTAACAGGCAAGATTCAGAGGGGGAAAAAAAGAAGCAAAGTGATTGTAAACCTTTATTACTTGGTAAAACTGTTGCTGAGAAAGTAGACTGAATTTTCTGGAATTCTTTTCCCCCTTGATTGTTTACTAAGACTTCTTTTCCCAACAAGTTGACCAGAGTTCCATTTTGTAAGGTGCAAAATACCTCACTAGCACTGATTGCAGTCAGAGTTGAGGGCATTCAGCAACCTGCAGGACATGTCACAGGCCTGGCACTTCCGTGGGTGCTGTGACCCCATTTCTGGCATTAACAGTTACATGTAGAGAAGGAAGGAAGAATATGCCCCAGAGTTGGAGTTGTATTACTTGTGGAAATTGAGAAAATAAGGAAATGAATAATGACAGAAAATTAGGAGACTCTCGGGTTGTCCAGCCCATCAGTATTCCACTCTGGAAAACATGCATGAAAGTTTAAAGTGATTGAAAGCCTTCTAAATAATACTAGACATTGTCGTTTTAAAATACTTTTTTTTTTTCAAATTTTGCATCACGGTTTTAGGAGAAAAATATTAAAAATAGCTAAGTGTTACTTCTGGGACACTTGGGAATTATTTTGGGCCTGGTTGGATAGCTCCGTAGATAACCTTTTTATTGCACCTGCTGTTGCTTGACAGTTTCTGATTTCCGCCGAGGTTCAGAGAAACAACACAGAGATAACACCTTCCCACTGCATGCTGGCGGATGTTTCATGTTTTAATATGGTGGCCTAGAGGTTTTTAGCAGTTGCTACAAAATACTTATGTTTTTATATGAAATAGTCTTGTCAGTTAAAATCGTGCCTTTTTATTTGACCATCATTTTCTTACCTTACAGCTATTACAATTATCCCTGGAAAATAGAGTTTAGTTGTTACTGGTATATATTTTATTTGACGGGACTGTCAGTTCTTAATCCCTGGAAAATAGAGTTTAGTTGTTACTGCTATATATTTTATTTGATGGGACTGTCAGTTCTTTGTTAGGCATACCCATTTGACACCCTAATGCTGTGGTGACTTTTTCGGTGGTCCACAGGAACATTGTCCAAAGTCACACGGCGTGAGCAGGCACCGCCATTAGGCTGTTTTACGCCGTGTTCACAAGCACTCGGCGTGTCATCCATAGTGTCACCTAGGATGCAACCGCATTGTCTTGCCAGTAGTTTCCGTCTGAGGCTTTGAGCGTCAGTGTAGCTGCCACCGTTGTGCTGTGCAGTTGCTGTGTCATTCGTCCTTTGCTACATGTGCTGGAGGTGGTCCATGAAAATTTTTTGATTGGCCTGGTGGTCCGTGGACTGAAATGAGTTGAGAACCACTGCCCTAATGGAAATCTCCTCTACTGTACTTAGTTTTTAATAGCCTTAATTTAATCAAATATTTTTAATAGCATTAGTTTAGCCAAAATAACAGTCCTAGTCTTCATACGGGACAGTCTCCTATTCTTAAGTTGAGAAATACATTACTCCTTGGCCGTCTGATTAATTTCTATAGGATCACTATCAGAAACTGGACCCATCTGTTCTAGCAGAAATCCAAATAAATAAAAATAGCACAGTGGTACCCAATCCTAAGTGCTGCTACAGTTGTTAATTAATAATAATAATTATTAATAAGAATGAATAATAGTAATACCCTAAAAAGTGACTGTAAAGATTAGCTTGTGGGGCTTCATGTTTTTTGTCTCCCTATTCCCATATGATATTTTTTCAGTTTCTTCATAAGAAGGTATCCTTTTTCTAACAGCTCACTGTCGCCAAACAGCTCCCCTGTCAGAGCTGCACTGTGCAGCTGGTGCATAGAGGTTCACACCTCACTTGAGTGAGATGCCAAGATGGAAAGAACCCAGTTGGACTTTCAGATCTCAGGCTAACTGTGATGGGCTGGCAAGGGGGGGGAGAGGGGAGTTTTACATCTCAGCAATGATAACTAGGTACCATTGTGATGTCATTTTTACAGATTCCCTTCTAAGAGAACTACTCTCAATTTCCAATCAAAGTAAAGAAAAATGAAGCGGGCACTCTGCATCTTGGGATCATTTATTAAAGCTGTGATATTCGTGATTCCTTTGCACATCGCTCTCTTGTTTTATGTTCTAGAATGGAGCATACTCTACGTGATGGTATCCACTTTCATTCTGATTGTGCTCTTGGTGGGCTTAGCATGGCTCTGCATCTGCTGCTGCAAAAGGTATGTGTGGGGTAAACGTGACATTGCTGCACCCTGTCAAACCAATATCATAGAACCATAGAGCTGGAAGAGACCTCAGAAGGTCAAGTCCAGCCCCCTGCTCTAGGCAGGACCAATTCCAACTAAATAACCCCGGCCAGGGCTTTGTCAAGCCGAGACTTAAACACCTCTAGGGATGGAGACTCCGCTACTTCCCTAGGTAACCCATTCCAGTGCTTCACCACCCTCCTAGTGAAATAGTTTTTCCTAATATCCAACCTGGACCTCTCCCACCACAACTTGAGACCATTGCTCCTTGTTCTGCCATCTGTCACTACTGAGAACAGCCTTTCTCCATCCTCTTTGGAACCTCCCTTCAGGAAGTTGAAGGCTGCTATCAAATCCCCCCTCACTCTCCGCTTCTGCAGACTAAACAGACACAACTCCCTCAGCCTCTCCTCGTAGGTCATATGATCCAGCCCCCTAATCATTTTGGTTGCCTCTGCTGGACCCTCTCCAACGCATTCACATCCTTCCTGTAATTGGGAGCCCAGAACTGGACACAATACTTTGTGTAATTGGGAGCCCCGA